TCTCGGAGAGATCCCATGGGGGATGCTACTCTTGACATCCTGGTGATTCACGATATACAAATGATGTTCGGAACCCCGTTGTGGGTGGATCCACATTGCCACCACCAGGACAAGAATGCCAAGAACGGACAAAGGCACCATTACCCATTTCTGCCCAACAAGAATTCTAGGTATGCGAGACATCTGCGAAACGTAGATCAAGATGAACAAAACAGCCATGTGATTCCATGTGTGTCAAGTTGCAAGGCAAAGTGACTATGAATTTCAAGGTTGGCTGGCTGAATGCCTTTACACCCAGATTGTAGAACAAAGAACACAAAAAACACCAGGCACATCCAGGAACCTTACTCCTTCCAACCTAGAAAATCCACCAAAAAAAACCACGGCACGCACCTCACTCACCTCTTTCTTGGAGTGTCCAAGTATCCCGAGATCCCACTCTCCCCAGATCCTTGCCAAAAGACTCTGAGCGCTCCAGGTGCATGAATTTCCGGATCATCTCGGAGCGGTGCACCTGTCGAATCCCGCCCGTGCGGCCGCGGTTCCGCGTCTGCACCACGTCGGCCCAGCGGTTCAGACCCAGGGAGAGGAGCTGAACTAAGACCAGAATCAGACCTCGCTGGCGAGCATGGTGCGCCCAGGAGACAAGGGAATGGGCTGTTCGGGCAAGAATCTTATAGTATTATGATGCAATCATGATTACAAAACATCCTTCCTTCACTGAGCAAGCAACATCAAGAAGCACCTGGACAAAACTTGCTCATACATGCTTTGATATAGTGTTTGATCCATGGATTCACCCTATGCACAAATTGCAAAAAAAAGTCCTGAGGCCGCATTACTTTCTTGCTCAGAATGAATGCAATGGATCCGAAGACTAGATCTCGAAACGCACATGAGGCATCAAGGCCCTCACAAGTTCACAGGATTCACATCTATTCTATGAGTGAGCTGGTTTCACAGTCAGTTTCGTTGTGGCACCTCAAGTCGTCCAAATAAAGTGCATAAAGAAAGCGTGGGGTTTTAGACCAAAAGGAAGAACGCTTGGAGACAGGTCTTTGGCATCGCTTGCTTCTTCCCACATTCTATTCAGCTAGGACGACTGGAGACCTTCGGACGTCGCCCAAAAGCGAACGGAAGCGACGATGTTTGGGACACCCGATCCCTACAGGCCGTGGGCCTGGTCGCTCGTTCTCTCTCCGAGCTAGCTGCTGCGGCCTTTCCGTCGTCCCTCTGAACCTTTCCGCCGTACCTTTCTGCAGTTGGGGCACATTGCGCATATCCCCAGGCAGGGTCAGAGCCGATGATACGGCCGATGACATGATCCACCAAGATCTTCTGCACCAGGGTCGACACCAAGACCTGCTGACGAGTCCCCTGCATCGACTGGGGAGGCGAGTCGGACTCGGACGAAGATGCAGTGCTTCGGTCGTGGATCTTTTGATCATGGAATCATGTCTTGTTTCGGGCCACTGGATTCATTCATGGGCACCACGTTATTGATAGCCTCCATGGTCCATGGTGGAAAGAAAGCACTGTAAACGGTCAGATTCCAACAATTTATCTTCGTAGCGAGGGACTTGCTCTGTTGGGTAGCAAAGGCACATACTTTGCAAAGTGAGGTTCAACAGTGAACAGTGATGAAGAGTGGTTCTGGCTCAAATCTGTCGCAAAACCTAAACTTAAACTTTAAACCCAAACAAAGCCAAATGGTAAAGACAACCAACACAACTGGTGTATGTCCAGTTGAGGAACGGAATGCACGGGCAGAAAGACCATCGCAATCATGGTCTTCCACCACTTCCGCCCGCGCCGATGGCGGTCCGCTTGGATGAAGTACTTCAACAAAGAGAGGCCTTTTCCGCCACGCAATGAGGAGGGGATGTTGTTGGGCCATGTATCTTCATCCAAGACAAGGATATCAGCTTGCGCCGGGGCAGCAAGTTGACCTTCTCCATGGATATTGAGAATGCGCGCTTGAAACCAATAAGAATTCTGCCAGCAACCCTTGTGGTACCTGAGAAGCAAGCAGCCCGCACCCCGCCGTATTGTAACAATCAACACTTGTTTCACAGTATGGTTTGTCTTTCGCATGTTTCGGTCGTCTTGCACATCACACATACCTTTAACTCAGCCATTGAAGTTTTGTCCGTTCTTCTAGGACAGAAGCATTGGATTCATGTCACCCAGTGTGTTAGAATGACTACAGTATAATAATGATTCCAAAACTGGATGCCAGAAGGGGTCGCCATGGTCACTCCACGCCTTTGGGAGCCTCAAATCCGTGAACGGGGCAAGTCATGCGAGGATCGTCAAGGGCTCGTGCAGTTCTTCTCACGGGTCCTATCGTACAACGTCACATAAAAAGAACGTCACCCAATCTGGGCAAGCACTCCATGCTGAGTCCCAGTATCTTTGTGTGGAAAGGGTCGGCACTTAGTCACTATAGCCTATAGCCCACTCCGTACTTCTCAAGTAAGTCAAATTGCATCCATCCTTGAGTTTTCTTTCGATTGAAGATCAAATTGACTTGATGAAGAGGTTTTCTCATGCCTTCATAAATCCGAACCAGTTTCAACCTGTCATCTTCCAGGAGTCCCCCATTCCGAGGCACACCACGGGGATCGGAAGCGTCACCTCCTTTTGTTCCTTCAAAAACCTTGCGATGTGGATCTCTGCAGTGAAGTCCTTTCCATCAGTGGCTCCTCCGAAACTCTCTTCCACAGCCACCTGAAGGCTATTAAAGGACTGGATGGTGATGGCGCGCCCCCACCGGACATGGCCAGTGCTGGCTTTAGTACTCTTTTGAAGCTTAGTGGCTTAGTGGGTGATTACTTATCACCTCAAGCCGAGTGGTGCTTCCTCGGGTCAGTCTGCTAAGTTTTGGGACCCGAGTGTGCCTCAGAGGCAGCTCTTTTGCGAGCAGAAACTACACCACGTACATGGTCTCAGGGTCTGTCTCAGGGTCCCCTGAAAAACGGAAAGAGAAGGCAAATTCAAGGAACCACTTTCACTCATGTGAGCTTGGGGGATCTGGCTAATGTGTGCATTGTTTTGTTCAGTGGAATCGCAACGAATGTCCCCACCTCCACATCTAGCTCATGCGCCGCATGTCCGCTGCGTTGCAGGACCAGAACTGCTTGGCGTGAGCGCTGGAAGCAAGGGAAGGTGTGGTGCACGAAACCTCAGCGACACACTTCTGCTCAAGGGAGGACTAAACACAGCCACTCGGAAGTTCCAGCTTGGCCCACATGGCTGCAAAAACCGTGAACGATGGTTTCTCAAACACTCCGAGTACCGTAAACGACTCTCCCTTATTCAGCACCAAGGAAACCTGATAGCCACAGCCAGATTCTGAAAGAAACAGTCGCTTTGAAAACCCAGAAGAGCGACGCAGCTATTAGAAACAAGTGCCACGCTACTAGTAATAGGTGCCTTACTAGTAGTAACAAGAAGCTATTAGTTTAAATTGAATTTAATTCTAATAGCTTTTTGTTACTACTAGTAAGGCACTTGTTACTACTAGCGTGGCACTTGTTACTAGTAGCAAACAAAGAGCCATGTTCACTCCAGAAGACTTACAAGGTTCTGCGGCTTCTCCTCCTGGAGTGGTGGAGAAGCCGCTAGACGCTCAGCCTGCTGCCAGAAGGTTTTGGATCGCTCAGACTTCTCGTAGAGGCCCTCCCAAAAGGCATGCTGCAAACCTGCGGTTCAGGGACCTGTCGTGGTTAGCGGAACCTTGACAACCAGTTTACCTAATGAAAAACCTTATAAAACTATGCCTTTTAAATGCCACTAGCCTAGTACAGGCCGTGCAACAAATGATAACACATGCAATCAAGTACAGATTTCGTACTAAACATGGTCGTCATCTACCTTATGGTTTTGTCAAAGGGATCTGTGTGCCATGCACTGCAAGGCCCTACAGCCTCAAATCTTCTGAATCCCAGGGCCTCAGGGTGCTAGAGGTTTATCTAGTGTTGCTAGCAAACTTGTCCAGAAAGATCCTGTTGGGTTTTCTCTGGTGTGCTTGAGGCCTTGCAGAAGGCGTCCATCCATTGTGGGTCACCTGTATCACAGTGAGACACTTCTTCCAGGTGACCTTTCCAAAAAGGACCTATTGGGGAGACTGCAGCAGTTCGGTCACGACTGGTAAGCAGTCACTTTCTGAACATCTGAGTCCGACTTGTCAACATATTTGTGTTCCTGCTGAGCTGCAAATGAAACATCAGCCAAAACCGCCGTAAACTTCTATAGAGGTTCTAGACTCTAGACCATTCCAAGATACTCCAAGATCAACTGAATTGCCGGATAAATTGATAAATTATCTAATCTATCAAACATTGCAGGGATCATTTTGACTTTACGTAATGGCCATCCCCGACACAAGGCCCATTACGTAGATCAAACCATTGTCTGAAATACTGGAAGTGAAATGATTAATCCTTCTTGGCCACATCATCTGCAGAAATTGCTCACATCCCCAACACCAAGTCACGTTTGGTCCAACGCGACTATTCCCAAAGTTCCGGCTCAAACAAGAGTGATAGTTCGCAAACCAGTCTCGCTTTTTAACAGCCATGACCATAGCATAGCTATGCGTGAAACTCTGATACAAAAAGCAAGAGCATACCTCCCCCCCTTCGATTAACTCCGGACCCGAGTTTGTACTAACCACATCCGAGGAAGCCAGTTTACAATTGAAATCCAAATTCAATGCAAAATAAAATCATCACCCTATGTGAATTGAATGATCCATGCAAAAGGGATACCTTATGTGACATGACCAACTCAATATGAGTTGGAGACTCTATGCGAACTGGACACTCTATGTGAGCACTCAAAGTCGAATGGCAATTCACGACCGTATGTTCACAAATACTTATTCAATACTATTGTAGTAGTTAATACAGTATATATAGATATTAATAGTACTATGAACACCGCCCTAACTTGTACAGGATGCAGGCATGTTCCTTCTATTGTTCGTTTCTCACCAAGCACGACCCAGTGACAAATGTCACTTCCCCCAGTTTATATCTTTAAGTCCATCAATTTCCCGCTGCACGTACGTAGCATTTTTAATCACACAGTAGGTTTAATTTAGGGCCAACGGCCACTAAAGGCATCGCTGAAAGTGGCTATGGCAGTGAAAAAACACAGTGCAGGGCCACTCTGTGATATTCTGAGATCCGACCTCTCACCTGCCCCAGCCAGGTCAAGGGTGCAGGGTGCGCGCTTGCGCCCCCAAGCGCCCCCAAGCGCCCCCAACGCCCTGGACCCCTCGTTGGATGTATCTCAGGTGCCTTCTGAAGTCTTAGGCTCAGGGTTTCTTCAGTGGATTTTGTTGTGTCCCCCAACGACCTGCCTGAAGGCCTTCGCTTGGGACTTGAATAGGGGCTATCCAAGGAGTTCTTCCTCAGCAAGAGCTCCACATCGGAACGCCAGCCTGGAACAACTGCAGTCAAATCGTGTTCGAACATTCAAAAACCAAGAAAATGATAGATGGAAAGAAAACTCTGATCATTCAAACTGCAGTCAAACCGTGTTCCAAGAAAATATAATAGATGGAACATGATTTTTTGAATTTGCAAGAATCACACTGGACCGAGGTCCCACACCCCGACACGGGTCCGCTGTCGGGGTCCGATTCATCATGCGCGCAGAACAACTGAAGCTAACTCTACTGGACCAACTGTCTAAAACCTCTGTCTACGCACAAGAATACTGGCCTCCCTTGTTCTTCTTCCGAATCTTCGGTGCTTCCCAAAAGCTCCTCGGCTCGTTCGGCGCCCGTATAGACCAGTTCACCCCGTTTCAGAGACGGCGCTGACCGGTTCCGGGGATCCGAGGACCACAGAGAACGCCCAACGAAAGAGTAGCGTTCGCAGCGTTCGCAGCGAACGCAAGTCTTGAGTCTTGAAGCCACGCGATCCAAGCGAGTGAAGAGAATCTCGTCTTTTCTCCCGGACGTTCCACCGAGACCATGAGACGACGTGGAGTCCGCCGTCTTCGAAAAAGCACGACGAGAGTGAGCTGGATCCTGCGATGGGTCGTGTGATGAGTCGTGTTCACCCGACCCCTCCACCAGTCCAACGGAGTTCCGACAACGAGTTCGACCGGATCGGACCGGAGTTCGGGAAGTCCGAACCTCCGGAGTCCGGAGAACTGGGTTGTGACCGTATTAGCTATTATATTACAGTCTCGATTGAATCCCAAAATGCTTTTCTGCAGGGTTTTGTATGTTTTGTCTCTGCATTTTTCTTCCCAGGTGACCCACATCCTGCATTTTTCTGCAATCATTGAATCCCAGGCTCAGGGTCGTCTGCAGCCATCGGTTCTCCAGCCACAGGATCCAAGCGGCCGCGATGAGCAATAAGAGAAACAAAATGGACCAAGGATAGGACGGGTCAACAGTATCAGCGAAGAAGGGCACCTGGCGTGAAAAGAGGGTGGAGCGTTTGGATCTCGTCAAAACTGAGACCATCGATCCCTTCCCCTCCTATCCCAACCACTTCATGGTACTGGATGGTTTAAATTGGTTGAAATATTGATCCAATGTCAACCACCAAAAATAAGAGGTCAATACGGCTGTCCCTGTCACCGGCCTCTCGTCGCTGGGCAATTGCAGTCCACTGGGACCACAGCTGCTGGTGCTTGCCAACCAGTCCTTGGATCAGTGTCATACACTCCAACAAACACATCGCATGGAAACATGGAAGTGGATGGCACCCCCTGTTTGCAAAGGAGAATAGTCTTTCCAGGCCCATGGTCCACTTCTATGTCAGCCAGTCGGAGTGTTTGGGGAATTGATGGAAGCGGATGGCACCTCCTGTTCATGGTCAGGAAAGTGGTCTTCCTTTCAGGGCTATGCCATCCACTTCCATGTGATGTGTTCCTCAGAGCGTCTCTGGGGCTTCAGACTGCGGTGATTTGGTCTAGTCGTTTGGTCTGTTTGGGACAATCGAAGAAACGACATGACAACCATAGGCCCCACAAACGCACACCAGTGTGCTTGAGGTAACTCCTAAACAATGCACACTGCCACCCCAAAAAAAACTAATGAATCATGTTTGATTCCAAACAAAATCGCAATTCATTCTCCCATGAATCTTGAATCCAACGATGACAATTATCACTAGTAACAAGAGGCTACTAGGTTGGAGGCCATCTCTGTCAGGTTGGGGACGATTGTTGCTAGTAACAAGAAGCTACTAGTAGCTACTTCTCCCACGGAGTCACTCACGGAGTCTTGGCTCATGGATCATCCTGTGTCCCAAGGACCGGGAACCATCCTCAGGTACCTGGATCCCATCGAGGTCTGAAGCCAGCCTCCAACGTAAGCTTGAACACACACACACACACACATTCGCACAACGTAAGTAGCACGTATCGGCCTC